GACCTGAGTGCAGAAATGGAGGCTCTAGACCCTTCCAGAGCTTAGATATTGAGATCCCACCTAGCATTTATGCCATTATAAAAATAGTGGGTTCGTGGACGGTGGAATTATGGGATCGCGCTTGGTGCTACGGACTCAGGGGAGCCTCCTGAGTGCAGTAAAACAGTTTTTATCATGAAAGAAACTTTAATTAAAATGTCCAAAAAAAATACACTACCCAAATTCCACCATCCACGAACCCATTATTTTTATAATGGCATAAATGTTACGTGGTAGCTCAATATCTCAGCTCAGGAAGGGTCTAGAGCCTTCATTTTTGCACTCAGGTCTAAGTCTCATGGCCCTCTATCATAATCCAGAGTTTCAAGAAGATTGGAGAAACTCAAAATTTCGACACGAAACCCTGTCGACTTTTTCGGTGCAAAAAAAAAAGTTTCTCATAGAAGAAAAAAATACAAGAAAACAGGATGCACACAGGAAATGACTCTAACATGAATGCATTGATTGATTCCTAGGTTTATTTTGTTATGAATAAACAAATGTGCAATTTAAAGGAAAAACCTCAAGATTAAAGTTGTAATGTTATAATGTTCAAGTTCTTGTTCTAAAAAAAGAAAGATGCACACAGAAAATGACTCTAATATGACCAGATTGATTGATTCGAAGATATTTAGTTTGTTACAAACAATGTGCAATCTGTAAAACAAAAAACGCAAAATTAAAGTTGAAATGGTATACTGCTTATTCTTTTTCTATTTTTTTTACCTTGAGATAGACCAACATAGACCAACAAATTTTATGTTCATTAATTTATTTCATGTTGGTACGTTTTGACCTGATGTCCATTGGAATGGACAAAAAAAATCACAATGAAAGCAATTATATATATGAAAAAAATTGTTTTCATTTATAGAAACCTTATGAGCTGGGAAAATGTACTTTTATATTTTTCAGAAACTTGAAACATAATTCAGGTCTGAGGGGGTTAACTATGAACGTGATCCATAAACGATTAACAAAGACAAAACACATATTTTTTTTACAAAATATGCGAACTGGACACAAGCACACACACAATGTGCTGAGATGTCATCGGTTTCAAAAGTTTTTCCAACTCGAGAGCCTGAATATGGCAGTCCGGACAAATGTCCTAATGTGTCCTCGAGCACTGTCTCATCACACTTTAAAAGCTCAACATCTGTCTGTTACGTGCACATAAAATACACCGAGTTTATTTTAATGAGACACTCATGAAATGTGATCTGCAAGGTAATATAACATGACAGTCTTAAAGGGCAACATGTCACAACCGATTCTGCAGCTTTACGGCCTCGCGTTAAAATTGAATAATGGGAAATTGAGTTTTCACAAAGTCCGAAATGTTTGCTTATCCCTTATCAGCCCGTAAAATACTGTAATAATGATCTGTGCACTGATTATAGTGAATAATATGAGTATTATTAGGACTGTTTTATGTAGTTCGAGTAGAAATAAAAAAATGAAAAAATAAATAAATAACCATCACTGTGAAAAAAAGTTGCTGCCTCAAAATTTTAAGTACAATTAACTTGGATGTTTAAGTCTATTAAACTTAAATTACATTAAACTGACTTTTAAAAATGAAAATTAATATCGTATGACTTATAAGAAAAGTTGAAAATTGCATTACATATTTATAATACGTATTTTGATGAGTTAAAGCAATGTAAAAATGCGTTGTCATAATTTATTGATTAATTTTTACAGTGATGAGACTCACATAAACGTTTGGGGTCGTTAAGTTTGAAGATTTTGAATTAAAGTCTCCTCTGCTAATCAAGGCTGTGTTTAAATATATATATATATATATATATATATATATATATATATAGCAAAAATACAGTAAAAACATTAAGATTGTGAAATTACCATTTAAAATAACTGCATATATTTTAAAATATCATTTATTACTGTGATCAAATCTGAATTTTCAGCATCATTACCCCAGTCTTCAGTGTCACATGATCCGTCAGAAATCATCCTGATTTGCTGAAACATTTCTGATTATAATCGCTGTTAAAAACAGTCGTGCTGCTTCATATTTTTGTGAAAACATATGCAGATGCAGCTTTTTTCAGGATTCTTTGATGAATAAATTATTTGAATGCGTCCGTGCTGAATAAACATTCATTTCTTTTTCCAATTGAATGGTTGTGTATGTACAATTTATATTTGTTTAAAGCAGAATGTAATGTAACAAAATGTATTCTTACCCACAAACCTAAGCCTGACAGAGCAAAGAGACAAATCACACTATTTAAATGGGCTTGAATTATGAAGCGGGTCTAATTGGCAGGTGGACAGGCTTGTGTCTGTAATAATTCACGTCCAGTGTCCAAATGTGACTGCAGGATTCAGTCAGACTCATTTTATGCAGGAGCGCAGACGTTTCTCTCTTCGTAATAAAACCCTCATATGCTTCATTCTCTCACTGTGACTGCATGATAAATCAAACTGGAGATATTTCAGCAGAATTTAGCCCAAGGAGAGGTAATTTAAATAATATCTCGCGCAGAGCTGCTTCCGAATAAAAATTATGTCTCGGGCAATATTTCATCCAATATGAAGCCGAGAAAATGATTTTCTTCCTAAATAACAAAAACGCAGTAATTCAAATAGGCAACCTTTCTATAAGCAAGGTTAATTACGTCCCTCGCTGGAAGAGATCGCTAACATGCCGAAAACAGATGCTGCTGGCTTTCAAAACACCATGCGTTTCATTACTCTTGTCGTTATTGAGTGGATCATTTCATGCTCTAGACTAGAGTTGGGAACATTACGTTAAGTATCTCTGATGATACCGTCACTTATCATGTTTGCCATTATTTTGGAAAGGTATCTGACTAATAAAAGGTTGTGCAAGTCAGGAGAGCTCGAGTCACTGTCACCACGGCCACAGTTTATAGATGTGAGAGTTACTGCCACTAATGGGACCTGATTATTAAACTGAATTATTAATCTCAGAGTAGCCTGTTGGTGGGGAAAAATCAAAATGACTCTCGAAATGAGTTTATAATTGTGTGTGAATTGGTAAAAGTTGATAACCTGCAGATCTACTTCAGCTGTGGGGTAAGATGACGGACCACTGCGGCCTTTTTGAAGTAAAATTTCATTTAAAATAAAAAAGGTTAATTCCACTTTTTTATGCCCTTCTCTCGTTAACTTCCATCCGTCTCATTCATAGTATGAGTAGACTCCCTCCCTCGGTCAGAGCCGAGGGTCTGTCCAAATAAACTTCCCTCGTCCACTTGAAAAAGTTGAACACACCTCAAATTGGCAGGTGTTTGTCTAAAAATGAGTTAAAGGGTTAGTTCACCCAAAAATGAAAAATCTGTAAGCAATGACTCACCCTCATGTTGTTCCAACCCCGTAACACCTTCGTTCATCTTCGCAACACAAATTAAGATATTTTTGATGAAATCTGAGAGCTGGATCACTCCTGCATACTAGTCCACTTGCTTCTTCCAGGGATTGAAACTTGCCGGCCCAGAAAAGTTATTAAAGACAAGTGACTACAGTGGCTCAATCTTAAGTTTATCAAACGACGAGAACACTTTTTGTGTGCAAAAAACAAACAAAAATAACGACTTTATTTAAACTATTCATTTTTCTTCTCTCTGGGCCTGTCAGTCAGTTAACGTAGTGTGATAGCGTAGAGCTACGTCACACGTGGCCGACGCTGGTCATGTGTGTGATGCGTGTGATGTACAACAGAAGCTTACGTTATTAAACTAGTAACCTGACACGAGGCCCAGAGAGAAGGAAGTGAATAGATGAAATAAAGTTGTTATTTTTGTTTGTTTTTGCGCACAAAAAGTATTCTCGTTGCTTGATAAAGTTAAGATTGAGCCACTGTAGTCACTTGACTGTTTTAACGATGTCTTTAATAACTTTTCGGGGAACAAGTTTCAATCCCTCAAGAAGCCTATGGTGATCCAGCTCTCAGATTTCATCAAAAATATCTTAATTTGTGTTCCGAAGATGAACGAAGGTCTTACGGGGTTGGAACAACATTAGGGTAAACACTGACAGAATTTTCATTTTTGGGTGAACTAACCCTTTAAATGGACAGTTCACCCACCCAACCCCCCAAAAACTGTCCTCATGTCGTTTTAAACCTGTAAGACTTTCGTTCATCCTCGGAACACAAATGAAGATTTCTGTCCCTCCATTGACAGTCAAAGCAACTACCACTTTCTAAGCCCCAGAAAGGTAGTAAAGACAAGATATTGTTGTGGTTTTCCCTCAATTTAGCGAAGCAACGTGCTTTGTTTTTGCCCAAAAACATAATTTACCACTTTCTTTACTAAATTTGAACACCAAGAGCACCAACATAGCACTCTCGTTGCTGCTTAACTCTTTCCCTGCCATTGAAGCAATTTTCCAGCTTTTCCATGTTAAACAGGGAAGCTATATTAATCTTCTGAAAGAGTACAGAATCTCCAGATCAAAACACAAGCAAAGAAGCAGAAATGAGTGATAGATGCTAATGCCCAACGTGGTCTTTAAAGAAAAGAAAAAGCAATTTTCTCTGCTTTTTGTTCAAAATGTTGCTTTTTGTATGAACCTTACCCACATTCATGTTTATTAACAAAAGGATGCAAGAAGCTAGAATAAAATGTTTAGAAGCGGCTCTGCTCTTTCTTTTAATATATTCAGATATTCATACAACAAAATATTCTGGGTGCAACAACATTTTTGTGGAAACTTTCAAAAACGCTGGCGATGGCTTTAAAAAAAAAAAGAAAAAAAGTTTCCCTGGCTGGGAAAGAGTTACAACTGAGGTTAAACATCTGGAGTCACAGACTGTCAACGGAGGGACAGAAAGCTTACAGATTTCATCAAAAAGATCTTCATTTGTGTTTGGGTGAGTAATAAATGACAGAATTTTTGGGTGAACTGTCCCTTTAAACACAAGACTCAATTGTTAGTTTTTTTACATACTATAGCCATTTTTTGAAAGTGTTAAAAAAATGACAATATTACCTTCCCATTCGTATCATATTTGATCTGTGGCTGTCATTCAGTTGATGAGCTGAACCTTGAGAAGATCAATTCCTGTCAATCATCACTGAAGAACCTGAAGATGGAAAGAAAAGGAGAAAGACAGACTGAGAGAGAGATGGAGGTTCATTAGCGTTTCGTCTGTTTTTAATTGGCTGTGTGTGTTTCCAGGAAGGTGATGTGATCTCTGCCCTGGAGAGGGTCTGAGGGTCCGGGACGCGAGGGCTGTCACCGGGTGTCATGGCAGATGAAGCCCTGTGTGGAAGTGCAGGTGTGAGACTCAGGCTTTGATGGAGACCTCACAGACTCCAGCTCTTCACACACTGAATACAGAAGAGCCTGATCTCTACATAGCAACTGACACACACACACACGTTTCAGTGTGATATACAGCTTACTACATGCCACACTCTAGTTAGTTAGTTAGTTAGTTAGTCAATACAGCATTCCTGGTTTCCTAAAATATGCAATCAGAATCAAATCCACCTTAGTAAATATATATTCGTCGACGCTGCAAGACACGGGGAAACAAATCTGGTTCTCTGTAACCAGTGAAGATACTTTCATTTGATCTTATTGTTTTTATTCGAAAGATGATGGAATAAATTAGGTTAATTAAGATTAACCTTCAAATGGTCTTTGTTTCCTGTTTACACTTCTGGGCTTTAATTGATTAATAGTACAAAAACATATACATTTTTAATCATACAAATAATATGTCTTTTTTTTTTGTTTACTTCTAATCTATTCATTAATGCTGTGTTTTTGGAGATATAAAGTACTTTTGTATCCATATACCATACAATTCCTCAACTACACCATTAGCTTGCATATGAAATATTGTTTTTTATGATACATTGCTTTTATTCTCTAGTACTAGGCCTTCATTTCTGTGTAAAAAAATTCAGATTTATGCCGGATTTTTATTTTAATTTTATTTTTTGACATATGAAGAAGTTGTTTTTTTTTGTGTTTTTTTTTTCATATTTCCCATTCATTTCAATATGGGGTCATATTAACCCTGAAGACCAGAAGTGTAAATTATTTTTTTACATATCTTCAGAACAACCGAATCAAGACCATTTTTTTTGTGTGTGTATAGATCCATAATGTATGAAAAGTCACAAAATCTGAAGGGAACCTTTTTTTTTTATTAAGTAAAAGTCGATTGGGGTCGTTTAGACCCATGACCGATTAAGGGTTAAACTATATATCTGATATATAGTGATTTACTCTGTATGTATATGTATGCAAACATAAAAGTATTGTAGATGTACGCTACTGTTGAAAGGCTCTTCTGCTCACCATGGCTGCATTTATTTGAACAAAAAAACAGTAATATTGTGAAAAATTATTACAATTTAAAATAACTGTTTTCCGTTTGTGTATAATGTAAAATGTAATTTATTCCTGTGATCAAAGCTGAATTTTCAGCATCATTACTCGAGTCTTCAGTGTCACATGATCCTTCAGAAATCACTAATATGATGATTTGCTTCTCAACAAACATTTCTGATTATTATTATCAATGCTGTGCTGAAATTTTCATGGAAACCATGATACATGTCAGGATACTCAAGATTTTTTGATGAAAACAGTTCAAAACAACAGCATAGAAATAGCTGTTAACATTGTACTGTCTTGTTCACTAGCTGAATAAAAGTATTAATTTGTTTACTATATTAGTATGCATTGTATCTGCCTAATATATATAAAAAAATGCAATGCAAAGTTGAATGCAGCATGCAAAGACAAATATTTCAAACAGAAGTCTACATTTTCATTGTGTATTATCAGAGAATTTCATTTAGCAGTTATACATTCAGAAAACCACTTACTGCCAAACTATATTTTTCTGCAGTTTATTTGTTTAAGCACAACATGTGGATTTCCGTTTGGTTTGCTCGGTATAACACTACATTTGCAATGCAATGCACACAACTTGACCATATGTTTTCAGTACGTTCTGCTGTATACTACATATTTCTGCAAATATACAGTACAGTGTCATACCAGTTCAGGTACACTCTTAGAAGAAAAGGTTCTATATAGAACCTTAAAAGGTTCTAAAGCGCAACGTATTTGGAACCCCTAAAATGTTCTATATCAAAATTCAAGATATGGGGGTTAGAAAATGTGTATATTCACATCATTTTATGTAGTTAATCAATATACCAATATACCAACATTCCAAAAATCAGCATGATTAAAATGTGATATTAAGTTTAATAAACAATAATTTAATTACAACTACAAAATATTGCAGAATAATGTAATATATGAATGAATAATAGCCTATAAAGAACCTTTCTTGTCATTATAGAACCTTTTTAAGCATAAAATGTCATTTGGTGTTGAGTAAAGAACCCTATGCTATATATAAGAGTGTAGTAGTATGGCCATACCAGACACAACCCATCCATTCACTCTCTCAGTTTTCTTCAGGTTTGTCTCTAGGCTTTTGTGTGGACCTTCTTACAGGCCCTTAAAGAGAGATGTGCTATAACGCTCCAGCCGGCCGGCCGGACCCATAAAATCGCTGCTTCTTGCTCTCAACACTCACAATTTCCAAGAGACGATTCACAAAACTTTAAAGTGTTTGGCTTGTCAGATTTCTACCCAGCAAGCAAAGAGAGGCTTTTATGACCCTAATTAATGTCTGCACGCTCTGTGTACAAGATTTATATCTGAGAAACGCACAGTACACCATGCTCGCGATATAGCGTTAGTCTGTAGAAACACACACAGAAGGGACACCGAAGTGCTTTAGGTCCAGAGCAGGTGAGATGAAAGAGATGTGTGTGTGTGTGTGGCGTGTTTTATCAGCGCATGAGAAAGATGGGGAGGATTTGTCTCTGTTAAAAGGAAACACTGCTCCTTTATTAAAGCCATTTATCACCCTTTGAATATTCTCCTTTAATGGGCTCTTGCCCCTAATTACCCAACTTTGTCAACAAAGAGCAGAGCGTCTCCTGTCCTCCTCACATACATGTCTTTCATTCCCACAGGCTCTCTCTCTCTTTCCCTCTCAGTATCAGTAAGCAGTGTTTTTCATGCTGTTGTTAAGATTAATTCAGACGCCGTCTGGAGGTACTAGACTATTTGTGTATGTAGGGAACGCTGGGTTGTATTTCAGATTTTGTATAAATGCTCTCATCTAGGGCTGGGGTGATATGTTCAATATTCACTGTAGTTTGCAATGATTTTATACAAAGTTTGCAAGGTTTTTTTATTTTATTCGACCGTTCAATTTCCAAGAGGCCGTGCGGTTAGACTGGTTTCACAAGACAAGGTTTTAATGGCGCCACTGATTTAAACATGAAATTAAAATGGACCCTATTTAATTATTTATTTTGTAATTATTTTTATTTATCTTAATGTGCATGATTCTTCTACCCAAGTGATAAAGGAAAACAAATGATTATCTTCATAAGAGTTTATTAAAATGCAGCTTTATGGTTGATGTCACTAAGTCTGTTATGTAACTGATTCCAATGTAACGCTTACTTTTTATGATTCAGTCAATTCCGAAACGACAATATCTAGTCCCGTTAAAGCTTTTTTTCTTGACATTAACATAGTGACGGCCCAAATCACCATTCGTCTGGGTTTCCCGTTTCTCCAATTATCCAAGAAAAATGGGTTTCAAACTGTGCTTCACGTTGACTTCGAAAGCAAACAAACATTACAAGTTGAAAGTGTAATTCACTTCCGTGAATGCGAGAATGAGTTAAGATTCAACTGTTTGTTTGTGGCATCACTCAAAGGTTTTATTTAAAACGGAAATTATAAACCAATTATATGAAGATTTCTATGAATGAATAAATAACTATTATTTGTTATAATATTCCAATAATGCTTGATATGGTTTTAGTTCTTACATTAAACATGTTGATTCTAATCGGCAACAATGGCAATGGAAAATATATAAATATCAACATATTGGATATTGCAAAAAGATCATTTTAGCTTTATTCCATCAACAAGTTGAGAATATGGGTGATGAATGAAGGCTTTTTAAAGTGAAACTCACTCTAAACTGTGTGTATGTGCCCAAAGTCCTTATTTTGTGGTGTGTATTCAGGTTTCAGGCCACGCCCCTATATGTGAGGACATGCTAATGTGTGTGTGTGTCAGCTATCTGAAGAGTTTCCAGGTCCCTCCCTCACAAGCGTCCCGTGTCAGCCGTTATTGTGTTTGCAGTTCATTAGCCACTTAACAAGCTGACCTGAATGAAGCCTGTGCAATAAAGAGTTGCCAAGGACCTGAATGAGACACGTCAAAGCTTTTGTTTGCCTATTAGACGACACAAAAGGTTCAGAGATAAAGAAAAGATATTGAGCAACATTTATTCTCACAAATGGCATATCTTTGAAATGTCAATTCTTTATTCTACATAGCATTGTGATTTAATGGAGAGCAATTGAGGTCTTTAGCTTTTAACTTTGCGTTCACGACATAACTAGCGCAATTTGGAAGAAATGGAAACCAGTGACGTTATACTTGGAGCGGATCATGACTCAAATGTATACGTTTTAATATCAATCGGTAGTGTCGGCCCAGATCCGGCCCACATCTGGTACGCGTGGAATCCACATGCACCGGATCTGGGCCGACACTATTTTGATCTCTGGGACACTGAATCTGCAGCAGTCACAGCTATTTAAGTTTTTTATGTTCATAATTATTTTTGATATGCAGTAGACATGGTTTTGGAGACGAGCTGATACCCTCTTTGGGATCTTGGGTGGGATCTTATCCTTTAAAAGGAGTAGTTCACTTTTTAAAAAAAATTGCTGATAATTTACTCTTTATATCTTGTCATCCAAGATATCCATGTCTTTCTTTCTTCAGTCAAAAAGAAATTAAGGTTTTTGATGAAAACATTCCAGGATTTTCTCCATATAATGGACTTCAATGGGAACCAAACGGTTCAAGGTCCAAAAAACTGTTTCAGTGAAAACTGCAAACTGTCCAAAGGGCTTTAAATGATTCCAGACGATGAATAAGGGTCTTATCAAGCGAAACGATCACTCATTTAATAAATAAATAACAAAGTTTAAGTTTTATAAGCTC